CTTACTGAAAGAGGTAACTGAGACTAATGAAAGCGGTAACCCAGACTAATGAAAGTGGTAACTGAGACTAATGAAAGTGGTAACTGAGAATAATGAAAGGAGTACCTGAGACTAATGAAAGGGGTTACTGAAACTAATGAAAGAAGTAACTGAGACTAATGAAAGTGGTAACTGAAACTAATGAAAGAGGTAACTGAGACTAATGAAAGAGGTAACTGAAACTAATGAAAGAGGTAACCGAAACTAATGAAAGGGGTAACTGAGACTAATGAAAGTGGTAACTGAGACTAATGAAAGTGGTGAATGAGACTAATGAAAGAGGTGAATGAGACTAATGAAAGTGGTAACTAAAAATGCATTGAAAAGGTAACTGAAAATCCTGTAAGTGTTTCTCGAGACTACTGAAAGTGGTAAATATAAATACTTACTGAAAGGATAAAGCGAAGAACGATGGCTTACTGAAGTCGTGTTTTACTTTATCCATGAATAGTTAATATATAACAGGAATAAATCCCAATTTCTCAGAAATTCATGCAATGTGCATTTTGATGTCTATTATAATCATCACAAAAAGACAAAACCGACAAACACAAGGAAATGAGATAAGTGAACAAACCTTTAAAATTTTCCTTATTGACTAACTTGAATATTTGACCTAATTTATGATATAAATGATCAATTACTCATAGCGTCCATTCCACCAAGGAAGGGTCAGAACTCTAAGATGTTAGTTTCGAGGAGAACGAAGAAATTTAGAAACAATGAAGAAGATTTCCATTTGTCAATGAATCCGCTTAAGGTATATTGCCCCATACACTGGAGTTTGTAGACAAAGTGAGATTAGATGAAAGAGGATATAATAAGAGTTCATATCTTTCATACATGTAATCGACATTGGTGACCTTAGTGAGGCATTGGACACAGAAAACTGCTATATGCCAACTATATTGGCAATATTTTGCATATTGTGCAAGATCCCTCGACAACTGGAAATAGAAAAGCCGCCGTCCTGACAAAATTTCTCTCAATGCACCCTGCATGGCGTAACCCGTGTTTATGGTGCAGACAAGTTAGACGTAAAACTCAATCCAATTCATTTCATTTTTGATTTTTGCATGGGTTGAGTGACTTTAAAATAAATATATAGCCATTTTTTTCATTTCTCCAAATTCATAAATTTTTGTCCATGAAAATCACATAAGCAGCGTTAGCAAATCGTTCGTATATTTTAACTTCCGGTTGGATCGGTCAGTGTGGTTTTGATTTGGATTTGATACCAACCCGTCCATTTTCCTATCATTTAGACATATGGGAGTATTTACATTTGTACAATAAATAAATGACATATCATTGATTATCTTATAGCTTAACATACAGCTGCACTTCACCTTTGTTGGTCTTTAGATAGGACTTAATGATTTTGTCTGTGACAAATTTAAGGTGGCGTTTACTCGTATCAGACGTTGTATAAAACGTCGTTTCGGCCAAGCACTCTGATAAATAAAATGGTGAGAACATGGAGAACGTGAAAAGTGGAGAATTTAAACCAATAATAACAACTTTTCTCATATGAGAGAGGTTGCCCAGACTCATATGAATTTTCACGAGTTTCATGTTTGTGTGTTCATATTTACAAAACAAATAATTATATAGATGCGTTTTGATTAGATGGTTTGAAAATTGAGGAACATCAATAAGGTCTACTCTCTCTCTAGAGGTTACGCCTACATGCCTGTGCTTTCGTAACATTACTTGACCGTAATGTTTCAACCTAAAATTCCTACATATTTCTTATCTTGGTCTATCAGGCCAGGTTCATCTGCTACAGTGAAACACGTTTCAAATATATAATAGTGGGAGGGGATGTAGGCTCAGACAGTTGGTGTACAACAAACATAAAAAAAATACAGAAAAAAAACAAACAAAAAACGACTTGTAGGCCTTCCAAGGCTTTCATAGTTTTTTAAAAGTTCAAATGTTTTAATCAAATGTATTTCTGTAGTAAACTTTGTGTATTGAATATACAATAGATGTTATCGGCTTAATCGGATTTAAATGAATAAAAATGATATTTTTCTCCCTGTCCTACGTTTCAATACGTCTTAATTGATTTTTCAACATATATTTGAATAATTAATGATTATAATGATTATCTACAAATATAAAAAAGATGAGCTGTCTAAAATCATAACCCACTTTTTGCCGTCAAGTTAACAATCGCCGCACTCACAAGAAAATGTTATTTTTGTCGTTTTAAAGATGGGTTCCCTTATTTTCATTTATGAAAATGAAAATGCTAATACTTATATGAATTGAAAATTGAGGTGTCATATGACTTGGAAAAATACCACTTTGTCTCAAATGTCCATAATTAATTCATAATTAGCTAAATTAGAAGAAAATTACCAGCTGAATTTCAATGAGTGGCGGATCAAGAAAGGTCAAACAGTCTTTTTTTGTTTATCCAGACTGTACATACATATACAAGTGTATGACTGAAGGTTGAATATTTCATACTGGTGATTGTTACTGTATTGCCAAATATTCTTACTTAAAATCAAAGCTGTCAGTGGGCGTATATTACCTTGCCTTTGAATTTGTCAATGTCCCGGATTTAAAACTAGAACAGATTTATTGATTTAATTATAAATCGTCACAATCCTTAAAATGATGTTAACAATAAAGGAAAACATGTTAAGTGAGATATGTTAGACCCTAAAAACATTGATACAGGTATGATCCACTAACAAAACAAAATATTGATCTGTGTTTTAATCAGGTTGTATATGACAAAGAAACATGGAAATAACTTCAATCCAATTCATCTTTTTTTTAATGAAATCCAAACCGAAGTTCCTAACCATTATCCAAAATTAAAGTCAAGCATTGACGTATATTTAAAATATATTGATAAAAGAATATTAAATAATGCGTAACAATCACGTTTTATCTTAATGACTATATTATGGCCCTGATGTAAATTGTCATTAAAACAAACATAATGTTTATAATGAATTAAATTGTCTCAGACATATTGGTGGGTGAAAAAAATACCCATCGCAAGAAAAAAGGTCTGGTGGACCCCATCTTCACCATTGTCAATCTATTACGAAGTCTAATAGCATGACATGATTCATTAGTACTCATCATGCCAACTGCCATCTTCACGATGTCAGGCTATTTTGACTTTGTCTTTTACCTTGACTGTAATAGCCACATTTTTTTTGTATTACGTTTGTAAATGCAGTCATTTGATTGGTTTGTACGACAGTGAGTACAGGCAATCAGAACCGTCGACTAAAAGACTGTAAACATTATTAATTACAAATTTTTTGTCGAGTACCCTGGTTGTATTTGCTAGCATACAATCCAACCAGCTGAGATACATAAAAGGTGGCAATCTAAGTCAAAGTATAAGACGAAGTTCGTATTAGCTTGACATTGTGAAGAAGGAACGATGTTGTTATTTTCAACCAACGCACACTAACAGAACATGCGCCCAATCTGCACCGGAAGCTAGGCATCCTCTATCAGCTTCCATTATAATGAATATTTATATCAAAAATTTAACACAAGCTTTGAACCTGGAAAAGGAGAGGTTTTTTCAACCACCATACTAAGAAAACAAAAATAAACTCTTTTAATAATTATAATTGATCTTTTCAAATAATTTGTTTACGTGATTGTTTACATTATTATTCACTGGAGCAAAGAAACGTTTCTAAATATCGATAAACAAAAACAATGAAGTTTGATTGATAATAGATGTCGAATAGACGATGGAGGTGGAGGCTTGATTTATTCCTTTCTTGTGTTAATAATGAGATGATAGTACTTCCAATCGAAATAAAACGGCATTCTGGTTTTTTCATAGGTCGAAAAAAATTTGCCTCAAATTTATGAAAACTGTTGACCAAATCTAGAAAAAAAATAATCCCGGACTTATCTGAAAGTTTTAACTTAATAAATTCTGCCGTTAATTTTTTATCGCCAAAACTATTTAAACTGTTTACGTAAACTTTTTAATTTCGTTATGCTTTATCGGGGGTGTTAGAAAACTACTGTACAGATTTGAGTAAAATAAACGCCTAATTGAGATATGTCTCCTTCGTATTCAAAAGGTTTCAACTAAAAATATGGAATATAGTTTTAGCTTTTTGTGGAATTGCAGGAACCACAGACGTCTGCTCGAAAATTGGAATGGTGCAAATTGACGCAATTAGTTTGCCTGTCAAAATTTCAAAATCGTCATGACACTCATGGATTTGAAGGCTCAAATTTCGATGGTGAGCTGTGAGCACTATTACTAATTCGCTTAGCTAAAAAAATCCCGTTTCTCAGACTAAAGTATGATTGATAAAAAAAATGGCGTCCCCACTTTTTAATATTGATTTGACTTAAAAAGACAAGTCGAATTTTCCACCATTAGCTCAAGTCAGATTTTTTGGGAATAATGATGTCTGATCTAGATAAGAAAAGTAGCTGGTAGAAGATAAACAAAACGAGATGTCTAGATCGTAATGTTAAATAGACTGAAATAGATTAACCATCGAAATATCAAATTAACCGATGAATTAACAAAGACATAGTCCATCAATTTTTTGCATCACTGTCAGTAGAAATGGTTTAATTTTTCTGGCCAATTTAACACTTCATTACAGCAACACATTATTCAAATTAAGTTACTGTCTTCAGTTAATGTCCATGGACATGATATTGGAAAACCAAATTTGTCGCCACGTATGTACCTTGTCAGGAATCCCGGGATAAATAGGCGTGAGTTTCATGATTTTGACCATGACTCCAAAACTGGTGTCATCAGAACACCTCTACTTTCTATTCATATAAGTATTAGCATTTTCATTTCATAAATGAAAATAAGGGAACCCATCTTTAATGGCAATAATAAAAATAATAGTAATAATAATCACTTTATTAGAGTAAAGAATTAGTTTCAAAAGACTCTTATATTCACCCAATTGAAATCATAAACAAGTGACTTATAGCTGTATAGATAATATAATCTGATTTGTATCATTATTACTAGAGGCGGTGATGACAGGTTGAGTGACCAAAACTCTTTTCATTAAACAAGTAGAGTCGTTAGTACACACAAAAAGCTGGAATAAAAATGCCAGATCTTGTTCTGCAGACGACGATTCCAGTTTCAACTGAGAAATAGCCTGTTTGCTGGTGGGTTTTAATTTACCTCTAGTTCCATTCACTAATATGTTCTTTATGTCTTCTGAAACCAGATTAAAAAAAATTAATATGAAAAAGCTCAGTATACATTTTAAATGGTACATATAAGGGTGATTCAGGATTTATTCCCATATCACCCCTTCGCATATCGCCCCCAATCTATTCCCATTTTGCCCCTTCCCCATTCCCATTATGTCCCGTTCCTATTGGCCACTTTTTCTTTTTGCCACTTTCCCATCTTTCCCCAAAATGGGAAAGGTTAAAGTGGGAAGAGGGCGAAATTGATAAGGGGCGAATAGTGAAAGGGGATTATTTGAGAGGGGGCAATATGGGAAATGGGAAAAATAGCAAGGGACGATATGGGAAAGGGGCAAATAGCAAGGGGCGATATGGGAAAGGGGCAAACAGCAAGGGATGGTATGGGAAAGGGGCAAAAAGCAAGGGACGATATGGGAAAGGGGCAAATAGCAAGGGACGATATGGGAAAGGGGCAAATAGCAAGGGACGATATGAGAAACGGGCAAATAACAAGGGACAATATGAGAACGGGGCAAATAGCAAGGGACGACATGAGAAAGGGACAAATTGCAAGGGACGATATGGGAAAGGGGCAAATAGCAAGGGACGATATGGGAAAGGGGCAAATAGCAAGGGACGATATGGGAAAGGGGCAAAGAGCAATTGACGATATGGGAAAGGGGCCAATAGCAAGGGACGATATGGGAAAGGGGCAAATAGCAAAGGACGATATGAGAAAGGGGCAAATAGCAAGGGACGATATGAGAAAGGGGCAAATAACAAGGGACGATATGAGAACGGGGCAAATAGCAAGAGTCGATATGAGAAAGGGGCAAATAGCAAGGGACGATATGAGAAGAGGACAAATAGCAAGGGACGATATGAGAAAGGGACGAAACGGGGAATGATTTAGAGGTGAACGGGCAAGATATGTGAAAACACCGTTGAAATTTCTGTTGCTAAAAATTTGATCTTTCATTCATGTATTCCTTGTCCATTCATTGTTTTTCAAATTTCCACTTTGTGCCAAATTCATATAAAAAATACCTGAAGGAAGAAGTTTCCAGTTATGAGGAGCCTCGGTATTAAACTGTAGCTGTCCAGACAAAGTAACGTGAAGGTCTATAGTAACTGTAGAACCTGACTGACAGGTTACTGCTTGCTGTTTAACATGTATATCAACATTTAAGTCTTTAATATTAACAGGCCCAGCTGGTTTAACAGAGTCAGTTACATCTGAGAAAATAATAGGTAGCTGAAATAAAATGGAAACAGGTTACGCCATGCAGTGTGCAATGAGGCAACATTTGCCAGAACAGTGATACTTTATGATTCCATATACCAAAGAGATCTTTGAAGTAGAGCAAGTTGAGCACATAAAGCAAGGCTCTTGATCTGCATCACCAACAGGAAAAAATGCCACTATCTTGACCTAGGACATGATCGATCTTTGGACTAGTGAGCATATTATATATGACTCACTGAGCCACCCAGGCTCCTACTAGACTAGGTAGTTTCTATTGAATGCATGTTTCATATAATTTAGAAAAAATATTAATATCACTTTGTGTGTAGAAGAAGACAACTTTCCTTTTTCTGGCTACACAAGAATGCAATTTGGTCATTTTAATATATGCATAAACTGTGTGGTTATGCTTTTTGTTTGATTCCATCTATACTTACTTGTGAAACCACCATAGTCTTTAAATCTAAGACTTTAATAGTATTATTATTAGTGTCTGCTATGTATAACTTCTGTTTGTTGGTGTCTAGTGCCAGTCCACTAGGTTCATTGAGAGTAGTGTCCCCTTTATCACTAACTTCTGTTCTACCAAGTATGGTTGTACACATTTTAGTTTTTAAGTCCACACATTTGATCTGTCAATTACAAACAAGCAAATTGGATTATCTGACTACATTCAAATTGAAAACATCATTTAAAGCATATTTCGTCCATCAATTAGAAAAATTGTTTCCCTAATGACATGAATGTTTTGTTCTTGTCCAATTGTAATTTTTCATGAACCAAGGTTTTCATTTCCATTTGCACACTGGGTACTCTCTCTGTTTTATCTTCAAAAATTGCCATTTGAAATATACCCTACCAGTGTGGTTGGACGCAAACTCAGTTGAGAAGTGCAGAGTGGTATAAGGTGAATTATTTACCTTATGATTATAAGAATCAGCCATATAAAGTTGATCAGTAGATTGTGATGCTATCAAACCTAAAGGATGTTGGAGTTTAGCTTCTACACCTTTACCATCCACATCACCATAAGCAAATAAATTCTGAAATTTAAAAAAAAAAATCAAAATGCACAATTTAACCATTTGCCAAAAAATTTCAAACAACAAAAAAAACTCAGTGTGTTATTTGGTATTTGATATGGTATGGATTGGTATGGCGTCACAATTTGCTAGCTAACTGTCCACGATATTTCATTTCATTGTCATTAATGAGAGAAAACCAAAATGGCATCACTTACTGTAGGATCTCTTTCTCCACCAACCAAACCTTTTACAGCCCCATCTTTTAGACTAATATAGCGTATACTAGAACTTTCACTATCAGCTATATACAAGCTATCATTAGAAAGTGTTAGTCCAGAAGGTTGAGCGAACCCTGCTTTCTGTGGATAACTATTATTTCTGTTTTCTTCGGCACCACTGCCAGCAAATCTGATACAGGTTCCACTACTGTACTTCCTGCAAGATAATGGTAAAGGGAAGATGCTCTTAAAATTTCCAAATTAAATTCCAAACCAGATTATAGTACCCATTTGCAGCCAAGTTGACTTGAATAACGAGTAGAGATCAGCTAGACTTCAACACCCTGACTAAGATTTGAAACTGCAACCACCATTTGTTGTTTGTAATTAAGTTGACTTGAACAATGAGTAATTATCTGACTTAAACATGCTGACTAGGATTAGAAACTGAAACCATCATATTTTGTTGTTTGTAATTGACTTGAATAATGAGTAAAGATAAAATATTTGTTGGACATGACCAAGCAGATGACTTCAAGACTTCAGCACTCCAACAAACTGAGCTACAGATGTCTTAAATATTCCTTTATATTTTATTTATTGAAATTGCTGTAGAATATTTACTTTCTTAATCCATATATACTTCATATTGGCAATTGTTGGTTTGCTACTAAAGTAATAATAGATCAAGTGATAATAAATGCTGATTAAATTAACATATACATACATTGCTTTATACCAAGTAACATCTTGTAGAAAATAAACCCATATTTGGTGTGTACCTGCCATAGCTATATATAATACATCATTCCGTGTAGACCCTGTAATATTCATGATCAAAATTGTAAGCTGCGCTAATCAGTAATAGTGTTCACAGCTCACCATCAAAATTTGAGCCTTCAAATTCATGTGTGTCCAAAGTTATCTGCGTTTGAATATTCAATTGACGACTCATCAATTTAAGATACTCTGTGATATGTGACATAGAAATAGTGAGTAAAATTTCTAGTTTGAAGTACTTTTAAAAAGAAGTATTTCTGAAGACTATCTACATATATTCAAGACTAAAATTAACCCAACCCAACCTTTAATACTCCTTACATGAAAAAAACGTCTTATGAAGTGCAACAAAACGAATTTTTTTTCGATGGAACTTGAAAGTAGTTTAATGATGATGACAGTCATTATTGAGTGAGTATTATATACAGGTGCGCATTATAATAGGAATTATACAGTATACGCATACGTTTTTCTTTAACTTTGTAATTTCACAATATACATCATAAACAAGTGACGTACCTGGTGATCTGCCAATACAAACATCCCACGGTGATGATAATATTTGATTGACACCTGTAACTCCACCCTCTTTATCATTTCCCATTTGTCCAGTACCTGCTATGGTTGTCACATGTTTGGATTTTAGGTCAACCTATGAGTAAAATATATATATATATCTCAATATCTTGAGACACTGTGTATCTTTAAAGAAAGTGCATCTTGAAAACACTTTGCATCTTTAAACACTGTGTTGAAAACACTGTGTATCTTAGACACTGTGCATCTTGAAAACACTGTGCATCTTTAGACACTGTGTATCTTTGACATTGTGCATCTTTAGACACTGTGTATCTTTAGACACATAGGATCGTTAGTACTTGGTTTATTTATTGCATCTTTAGACACTGTGTATCTTTAGACACATCGGATTTTTAATACTTGGTTTATTTATTGCATCTTTAGACACTGTGTATCTTTAGACACATCGGATTGTTAATACTTGGTTTATTTATTGTATCTTTAGACACTGTGTAGCTTAAGACACATCGGATCGTTAGTATTTGGTTTATTTATTGTATCTTTAGACACTGGGTATCTCGGGACACCATCTATCTTGAAGTTGAAACAACATGTATTAACTCACCTTTCTTATAGCATGATTCTCAGTATCAGCAATATAGATATAATCATCTAGTCTACAACATCCTTGTGGTGATGAAAACATGGCGGTTTCATAATCTCCATCTTTAAATCCTTTCTCTCCATTACCAATTACATTCTACAAGAAAACAAAAAAATTCTTTACAATTTTCATTTTAACTAATTAACAATTTGTCCTATTTGCAGAAGCTATAAAATATGGTTGCATTTCCACATACCATTTTAATAATTGGTCGACTCCGTCTGTGACCTCAGGACATTTCCAACCATTCATCAATCTTTAGCAGGCGACAATCAAACTTACTGCCAACTGTGCTGTACTGTCTAATGATTTTTACAGGTCCTTTTCAGTACGTCTTCATTCAGCCAGATCTAACATTATTATCATAGGGTACACATATTCCTATCTGAATTCATGTTTACTTGATTTTTCAGACCCACAGAAATTTATCTAGGCTATATTTCTATTAAACTGACTATTTACCTGAACTATACCATTTAAATCTGTTATTAAAATTCTGTGGTTGCCGGAATCACTTATAATCAATTCATCATCAGATAACTCAATTTTTCCAGGATAACGCAAGGGTGTTGCTGGGAGCTTCAATTTCTCTAAACTAATAGGCACTTCATAGGACTTCAATTCACCTTCAGATTTAAAATACTCTACAGCTGTTTCTACAAACTCAAACAGTTCTTCTCTGTGCCCTTCCCCAACTAAATTAAATAGATATTGACCACTGGGACCAAGGATAACAAAGGTCGGCCAACAAACCACTTCCAATTTTTTCCACAAAGTTGCTTCAGAGTCGTTCACTACTGGATGTGTGATGTCATATCTCAAAATAGCACTTAAAATGTTTGCTGTCAATTTTTCATTTTCAAATTTGGCAGAATGAACTCCAAGAACCACAACTCCATCTTTGACAGAAAATTTCTCTTCTAAGGCGTGAAGGTCTGGTAAAACATGCATACAGTTTATACAGCAATATGTGAAAAAGTCCAACACAACAATTTTTCCACTTAGTTGATTTGACAAGGAAAGTGGTTCAGATACATTCAACCATTCAAATTCTGAAGAAAAAAAATATTCAGTGAAAAATTACTCCTAATTGAGTTTTAAATGTAAAAATAACATTAAAATTCAAGTCAAAAAAGTAAAAAATGAAATATTAATAAAAAAAAAACTGTTGTAAATCATTTCTTTTCTAACACATGATGGCTATCTGCAACTTGGCATGTCAACTCAGCATTCTTTCCAATATCAAAGGGCCAACACTGGTTTTATCTTTTACTTTGATATTCAACCACAAGCTTGTCTAGTGTAATAAATTTTTGTATGAGATCCACAAACAAATATCATTGGTGTTAGGGCCTACAAATTTTACTGATTTTAAGAAGGCAAGCGTTAAAATAGCAGGGCTTACCAATAATCTTAGAAAGACTTTGTTTTGATGAAAATTCTAATTAAACCTTTTTTTGGTTATATAACAAAATTTTGTTGAAGTGATGATGTTTGCTAATGTTAATATTTATTCTTATCAACACAAAGTTATTAAAACACAACACTTGTGAGTACTAATTTGAAGTAGTAAATGAGTATGGACAGGCAGTAGCCTAGTTTTTTTTTTGCAGATATATAAATATTAATGACAGTTATCAGGCAATCAAATGTCAAATATTATTCACTTTAAGAATAGTATGAAGGCAAAACAAACCAACCGATTACTAATTTTGAACGATTTCATTTACCTTTTGAAAACTCTGGCACTTTAAAACTGGATTGTCCACTCAATTTCTTTATGTGTTGATTAATTAGTGATTTTCTCTTCTCTTTATCGTTAACTGTTGATAAACTTTCACTTAAATCAGAGCAGTGACTCAGTACATCGTAGATGGAAGCCATTTTCAATGTAAATAACTGCTACTTCCGTTTTATTCAAATGCCCCGCCCATGTTAGTCTTGATTTACCAGACATTCTTATATAACTCATTGATTATAAATATTTCATCTACTGGTTAATCGAGTTTCAAGGAGAGACAATCTGACTAAGACTACAGTGATTTCTTTGAACAGTTTTTGTTCTTATCTTCTTCCACAACGTAACAAGTTCCCTATAAAACCCAAAATGGTAGCCGAGGTGCTCTGCGACTGGATTTGTCATGAGTCCAGACAAACATGCTAATTTAGCCCATATTTTAAGATATACAGTCATATGCGGGTGAAAAAACTGTCCACTAAGCTATACAGAATTATATTAGAATATGTAGAATTAATACTAGAATACCATTTTAAACATAAAAAAAACAAATTTTATTACATCACATGACACTACAAGTCCGACTTTTCACGTTTGCAAAACGTTTTTTAACGGATGATTGTGTTATTTCTTCCATCCCATATCTAAATGCCGGAACATTGAAAAACTTGTCTTTTGGCTCTTCTATCACTGAAGTTTCACCAACTAGAAAATGTGTTGTCATCTTTCCCTTCCCTTTCACATTTATTTCCCCTCTTTCTTTGAACAGAAAATTGGAATCGGCCAAGGAACTGAAATCGACAAAAACAAAAGGGATTTATGATGTCGCTAGGCTTGTTTAGCTGCTGCTTTTGGTGCTGTTGTTAATGCCGATGATGATGATTTATGATGTCGCTAGGCTTGTTTAGCTGCTGCTTTTGGTGCTGTTGTTAATGCCGATGATGATGATTTATAATGTCGCTAGGCTAGTTTAGCAGATGGTTATGGTGCTGTTGGTAATGATGATGATGATGATTTATAATGTCGCTAGGGCTAGTTTAGCAGCTGGTTATGGTACTGTTGTTAATGATGATGATGATAATTTATAATCTCGCTAGTGCTAGTTTAGCTGCTGGTTATGGTGCTGTTGTTAATGCTGATGATTTATAATGTAGCTAGGCTAGTTCAGCAGCTGGTTATGGTACTGTTGTTAATGATGATGATGATGATGATGATTTATAATGTCGCTAGTGCTCGTTTAGCGGCTGGTTATGGTGCTGTTGTTAATGCTGATGATTTATAATGTCGCTAGGCTAGTTTAGCAGCTGGTTATGGTACTGTTGTTAATGATGATGATGATGATGATGATGATGATGATTTATAATGTCGTTTAGCTGCGGGTTATGGTGCTGTTGTTGATGATGATGATGATGCACTTATGCTACAGCTGCAATTGCTCACGGTGATTATTTTGCCTCCTGATGCTTATATCGCTGCTGATGATGATTATTATGTCGCTGTTTGTGATGCTGTAGATGAGATTGACGATTATGTATGCTGATGCTAATGATAAAACATAAGGATCGTCGAACATGAAAAACTGATCACTTATCATATGATACCAATAATAGGTACGGGGATGCTAAAATCGCCAAGAACATCTTACATATGGAATGACTGATGATACTAGAAGGGTTGTTTAAATCTACTTACTGATAGGTGGTGGGACTAAGATGAATTCTGCCTGGTAGACCATGACTTTCCATTCTGGAAGCCGTGTTGACGGTGTCACCAAACAAACAATATCTCGGCATCTTTAAACCAACAACTCCGGCTACCACTGGACCCGTATGAATTCCAACCCGAATCTACAATGACATTTTTTACAAGAATATATTTCACGTGTATTGACGTGGACAAAGTTATACCAACTTTCTGAAAGAAGAAAGGCTGCATGACTTACCGCATTCTTGTAACATGAAATGGTTTTGGGTTGTCCGACATTCTCACTTACCACTTGTGACATTTTATTGCCTTCGAACCTACAGCACCTCATCGCATATAAAACACCAATCCAACTCGCTATACTTGTTCTTCCAAATATAATAGATATCTAAAACAGATCTGAGGAGGCTAATATACCTGAATTGGACGGCCTGTGTGAGGTGATGGAACTTGACGAGCTTCTGTTATCATGTCTACAGCGAATCTAGCCACTGGCGTCGAGTGATTGGTGGTCTTTTCTGGTACACCACATACAATCATATAGGCATCCCCGATTGTCTCTACCTACAATTACAATTGAATGGGTACCTTGCAAAGTTTAACAATTTTATGTACTTTTCAATCCAAAATGTTGCTGACAAATTTGATGCCCGTATACAGTGTATACTGTGGATGAACAACTTGTCTCTTGTTAGAATTGGAAAGGACCAAGGATAGCAGCTTGGATTCTTGGGAAATATATCAATACCAAGTGTAGATCACTTTACCCTTTGATAAACTAAGTTGACTGTATACCTTATAGACACCATGTTCGTCTGTTTTCTGGTCGAACCGTTGATATAAATCATTTAACATGTTAACTATCTGAAGTGGGGTACATGCCT